CTCTTCCGATCTCCGATTCACATAAAAGGAAGCCAAGAAGTGTCATCAGCGATCTTGGGATCGAAGCATCTTTGGGATATGCCGTGCATTCTATCTTTATTATGAATCATGCTGGCTATTTGAACGCTGACACAGTGACTTCCGAGAGCCAGCCGATGCACAGTTTAGTGTTCTCCTCCCACCAGACGATCTGGTACCAAATTCCCGTCTATCCGAAGTATAGGAGATTTGGTTGAGGTTAGCGGGATCCAGTCCCCTATTTGATTCCTGGACCGACCCTGTGGTGAGTGGCCCGTTTACAGATGAACCGAGTCCTCTTCATGGCTTCGTCCTCATCTCAGCAAAATCGGAGCATAAAGGGCTACGAGTTTTGAAATCACCAACTTTCCCGTGATTGGGCTGTGAAGATGAGCTTTCCTCCACTCCGTCAAGCGAGGCAATAAAGTGCCATTAATTAAAGAGACTGCCCTTGCTGATTTTCATCTATTGCATGGGAATGGAAATTAGAATAAGAACAGTTTAAAAGGCTTGCTTCCATAAAACCTAACTTGAAGTGTTCTTCCAAAAATGGACTGCCATTAGTGAACACTATCGTTTTGTAGGAATGATGAATTTGATGAGCCTTTCACTGCAGCTGAATCAAATTATGCTTGCTAATAAAAACAGAAATTAAGTTAGTTGATGTGTCTTTTTCAGTTGTGAGCCGTAAGGGTTAGCAAGCTTGGGAGATGGCCCGGAGCGTTGGACAGTTAGGTCATCTCCCAAGCTCCAATGCTTTTACGGCTATTTCACACCAGTTGCATTTCGCACATTTCTCTGCACGCTTATTTTTTCCCGAAGGACCTTCTTGTGATTTTCCGGAAACATCATACGAAAACATGAATCCGACATTGTAACCTCTTTTACCCTACAAAGCTACTTTCATAAAGAGTTTCTATAGAAAGCGTTCAGACATCGTGATGACACGCGTCATTACGCTCCGTTACAATTGCACTCTAGTACAGGACTTTGATTCTCTTCATCTTCCTGAAATGATCGATTCCTCGAATTTCTCTCAATTCCAGATGATATTCGCCACTATACTGCTACTGTTTGTGACGACAGGTTGCTACCGTCTTTCACCAAAAGAAAATGAACTCCTGCGAAAAAGCTGCGGTGTGGGCAACCTGGGTAAGTCTTTCATGCAAAACGTATCACTTGTCTACGTGAGGAGGGGGTTCGCTTTTTCATAAAGGCGAACCTCAGAGAATGGTTCTTTCTCATATGCAAGACAACTGGGTCCGCACCCAAAGTAGAGGGGCCCACTTTTGCACTCAGCAGCACTAGCTCTGCGCTAGCCATTACGTAGGTGGAAGATAGTGATATCAAAGTGAAACTTGGACCGCGACCGCACGTCTACCCAATACCTAGCCGGAGCCGGAGGCACTGCATGCGTGCGTCCTTTCACTGTGCTTCTTCCCCGTGTTCGCTGCAGGATCATGCTATCGGCACATGCGAGAAAAAAACAAATCTGGGGCAATCCAGCATTTTTCTGCTTTTCGTCGATCACTGATGATGACTCTTGTGAAAATGTGTTCCACTGAAGGCATTGGCACAAGCTTCATTTGCTCTCAAAAAATCTGTGGTTAGCAGGAATTAGCAAAAAAGCTAGCACGCGCGCGAAATGTCCTTCTGGGCTAAACGATTTTCTCTAGCAGTGGAGGCGGTCATTAGTGAAAGTAGTTGTTGCAAAATGTGGGCACAGCCTGTATGCCAAAACGAATCGCTTTGCCATTCTGTGCGGTCCGAAATATTTTACGATGAAGGGAAGAACTGCTTCGGTCTTCTAGTGAAAAGCATTGCTAGAATAACTCAAGAAACAGGGCGTGACTTCTACTGCGAATCAGTTATTTCGCTTCTCTTCGGCCACTGAGATCTTCTAATGTCAGGAAACCGAATTTTCAGAACCTTCCTCAAAATTCAAAATAATTGGAGGGCGGGTCATAAAGTCAGGCGAGTACCCGTGGATGGTCAAGCTACTTGCTCACAAAGATACAGGATGTCAGGGGTTCTATTTGATTATATTGTGTGTAAAAATGTTATCAGTTTTCAGATACAAAGTATATAACGAACTGCAGTGCGTTCCTAATTTCCCCACGTCACGTCCTTACGGCCGCACATTGTGCGACGAACGTAGACCAGGACGCTGATCTCTTATCAGTGCCGTGGAATATTGAAGGAATACGTGCCATCAGAGGTCAAGCCAAAGAAGTTTATCGTATATGTCGGCACCCGTTGCAATCCCCCTGAGAAATGTAAAACCACACACGCAATTTCAAAGGTTTGCTGAAGTTGCTAAAGGAACCATTTTGAATAATATAACCACCTTTTTTGAAGAACCTTTTTCGTAGAACCACTTTTTTTCTTTTCATCAGGTTTTTGTTGACAAAAAATGGAAGTGGTGCGTGAAGGGAATGAACGATGAATTACCGATCAACCAACACGACCTTGCTATCCTCGAGCTCAGTAAAGAAGTTAGCAACAAGGATGCCATTCCAATTTGCTTACCACACAGTAAAATTGCATTAGCAAAAGACTTCAAGCTGCGGGAAGTGGATGGGCAAGGCGTAAGTTACATATAATACATTGAAAATGTTGGCATCTCCTTTGAATACCTCTTTTTTAACTGCAGTTTACTATTCGGAAATTATCGTAAGAGTCCAGGCTCGACCCTCGATGAATCTTGGCATACTTTGAATTTTCTCTAGGGTATTGCTGTAGCCGTGACCAAGATGATATAACAGTTTTATTGGCTAACGTTTCGGCCTTATCGCCTTCGTCAGAGCCTGGAAAAAAGTCAAAAATCAAAGTGAAACTACCCTCGGAAATCATTTCAAACCTCAGATAAGCTAGTCCCAGACCAGAGGATCCAGAAACCTGTCATAGGTCACAACCACAAAACGACTCACCTTGAATGTACGGCCGGTTTTTGCTTGAGACTCGCAGGAGGAATCTTGACCAGCCGAACCATATTGTCGAGATCACGCCTGCGCAAAGACGTCATCATCGCAGTAGTCTTATCGTCTGCACCACGGAGAGCTTATGCTTTGACCTCCTCAATAGCCAAGCTGAGAATATTCGGTTTACGAGGGAGAAGCCTTCTAACAGTTGGCTCTCATTCCTCAACGTGCAGATCCAGCTTGAGCGCGGGTTCTATCGGACCAAGTGGTACCGAAAACCCACCAGCAAGAACATCTTAGTCCATTTCCGGTCGGCGCATCCTCTGGGGACCAAACGGGCTATCAACAGGAACATGTTCAGGACAGCCAAAATGGTCTCATCAGGTGAGAAGGAAAGAGAAGAGTCCCTGGAGTTAGCTCGGAAAATAACCCTCTCCAATGGCTACCCCTAAAAGGCAAGTGCCCCCCTGCACCACCCACTAAAAGCGTCGTCTTTGCGCAGGTGTGGTCTCGACAATATGGTTCGGCTGGTCGAGATCCCTCCTGCGAGCCTCAAGCAGCAGCTGATCCGCAACCGCGGGTATGATCGCTACTGCCCAACCCCACATTGTGTCACATGTCCTTCTGGGCGGGAGGGGGACTGCATGGCCTCAGGTGTGATCTACCTGATGTCATGCACGAGTTGTGGGGATGAGTACATCGGGGAGACTGGACGACCCCTGTGCTCCAGGGTAAAGGAGCACCTAGATGGTCTAAGGCGATCTAGGCCAGAGACCCCCTGGGTAGTCATCGGGTTCAGTGCCATGGAGGCGCGGAGTTTGAGGTGACGGTTAGGATTTTGATGCGAGAACCACAGACTTCGGCGCGCAAAACTTTGGAAGCGTTTTGGATTAGCGCTAAAAATCCCAAAATGAACAGAAAGGACGAATGCCTGGCCATCACAAACGAGCTCGCCCCGTTTGCTGACCTGTGTGGGCTTCAATTGCCATCGGCTTCGAGTCGAGGGGCCAGGTCAGCTGAAGCCACCCACGGGGAGTCAGTTTAGCGGTGGTCTCAAGCAAAACCGGCCGTACATTCAAGGTGAGTCGTTTTGTGGTTGTGACCTATGACAGGTTTCTGGATCCTTCTGGTCTGGGACTAGCTTATCTGAGGTTTGAAATGATTTCCGAGGGTAGTTTCACTTTGATTTTTGACTTTTTTTCCAGGCTCTGACGAAGGCGATAAGGCCGAAACGTTAGCCAATAAAATTGTTATATTGTCATTGCAAGAGTTCTGAGGTGTGGGCAAATTGAGAAAGTCACCCGATTCTTGTTGAATCTGAGTGGAAGACGGTCCATCCCATCCTACCATACCCCCACGAATTGTCCTTGGAGCAGAGGACTTGCTCTTATCCATGGAGTATTTTCCAGAGTAGAGTGGAAGGATTCCTTCGATATTTTGACGAAATCACGAGACAATGCAGCTCGTACGCAATGGCCTGCGTAGTCGCACGCCACGCCCACCAGCGCAGCGTTCAACTCTAGAATTCAGGTCGTATCAAGTTGTGTTTTTAACACCTCCCTAAAGAGTTCAAATCACATTTGAAATCGTCCAGATTTGCCGTGGAAGAGACAGCATTCTAATCGAGGCACTTGTTTTCGGAAAATCCATCAGAACGGTTATTGTAAATAGCCCGGAAACGCCCAGCTGACTTCCTGTGTTCCTCGAAATTCGCTTGATCCTGTTGAAATTCTTATTTGAAATGTGCTTACGTATGCGAATCTACATTTGTTGCCAAAAAAGCAGTCTTTAAGGGAGGGACGGAAGGTCCCGGATACAAAATTGCTACAATCCCACTTGTCAAGGAAGACAATCGTGAAATACTTTTGGCACCAAGGCAGGACCACTGCTATATGCCCGGTGAGTCACATTAACCCTCATTCAGGACGCTGTACTTTACGGATTGAGTCACACATATAATCGTAGTCTCCGGAGTAGAAAGAAGGTCCAGCAGATTTGTGCTAGTTATGTGTGAAGCACTGTTGGTATTGGTCTCTGTCTCTTAAAACATACTGTGCGCGGCGACGTAACTTTCTCTATGGGTGAGGGGATGAGGGCTGCTTCTGTACGAGAGTTATACCTCCGTCGCTCGAAACTTGCATGAGAAGTCAGACTTGAGAAGAATTGAAAGCCGAGTTTTCTTCCACCCTCGCTTTCGGTTTCATGTGGAAGCGCTCCACATTATATACGCTTTGGTAGATGAGGCAGACAGCCGTTGATGGAAGAAGGCTGGGGCTGGGTCAAAACGTCTCAGCATAGGGACGCCTACATCTGACACTCCAGTGAGCAGTTCAGTCCCCGCCGCGAGCAAATTACGCCACAGATACTCAGAAAGCCGCACGATCGGCCTTAATTCCACTATCATAGACGGACGCATAGAGAAAGTAGCACCGTGCCGTCCTGTAGGCCTTGTCCATGGGGGAAAATCAGCAACGTGGTGATCGCAACGGCCAAAATAGTATGCCTTCGTTTGTCGTGGCTCAGTTTCGTACAGTGTACATTTCCGAGGACACTGCCATTATTGATAGCCAACAACTTGCGCGCCTTTGTTGACTTTTCGCGAGGTCCTCTCGTCAGAATTTTATAGTCACCTTCTTCTGACGAAGTTTATGCTTTTTTCTATGAGCTGAGTTGCCAACTTCCTCATAAAGTTTCCGGTGTCTCACATTCGCAGGGAAGTTCGGAAGACATGCTATTTATAGGGAGATAGCGGTGGGCCCCTATTCCAGCTCAATGGGGAAGGGCGATATGTTGTACTCGGCGTTTCATCAGGTGGTCTTCGTTGGACCTAGCGACTGTAGCTCACCAGGTATATTTTCTATTGTTTTGATTTCGTAGGTTATCACGAAAAGGAAGAGACGCTCTCGCGTCTTTTTTTTCTGTGCTCTACCTTCCATTGCTAGGTACCGTCACCGCTTGCAGGTCACAATTGATTGGACCAACTTACGCTCGTCAGGCGTCAGGTGATCAGGCGAAATGCGATAAAGACGGTCTTGTTGCGGTAGTTCTCGTGCTTTCCACTTCTTCTTCTTGACTGAGTCAGCTAGCATCCTGCACTTCTGTTTTGAACCCTGCTATCTAGGATTAGAAGATCCTTCCTTCCTGCGTGCAGCATTGTTCGCTGGGTTTGCGCGCGCCGCCAGCTTGTCTCCGACGTTGTTGAAGCGGGAATCTGATACAGTCTTTTCTCTCACCGAGAAAAAGAGAAAGAGGGGCACTACGCCGAACTCATTCTTCGTGACATGCCTCGTTACCCTCACCGACCAAAACTGTATTTGTCTCGTAAATTGCAGTGAAAATGAAAATTCGCAGTGAAGGAAAGAAGGTTCCGACCATCCTCCCTGTTTAAGGATAATCGAAACAGCTATCGCCAAGGGCAGACTGGACTAGTGACATCCTGCGGATGATCACACTCAACCCCTGTAGCGGGCTGAGGAAACCGTCATACCTCCTTCACCAAGACCGACCGAGGCACCTTTTAGCTTCATCATCTCCGAGCGGCTTACATAAAGTGAAGAACTATATAACGGGATACTGCACTTTATCAAACGACACCATTCCTGAATGCAGCTCCTTCAATTCTATTTAGTATTGGGTCATGGAAAAGGATAATAATAAAGTCTTATCTTCCAATTAATCGATCAATCCTTTCGTAGGAGACGGCACCAATGGCTCATTTAATGAACCAGAACACAGCTGTGCGTCGAGCGAAAAAGCAATTGGATCCATGTATCGGTAGCTTTTATGTCGGAGCACTGCACAATATTCTTACAGCTTGGGCGCGGCGTTGTGATGAGCAGTGACTGCTCCCTTCTAGTCGTGTGTCACCATCCAGTTGTCAATCCGGTCGTCGAGGAACCTCGAGGAACACGAATAGTGATGGTCTTGTATTTTGTATAGAATTGCCCAGGAGCAGTGCAGGGATCCACTGTTACTGTATCCTGTATCGTCTTGAGCCCACGTAATTAAATTCACATAAATGTCACTAGTAAACTATAATGGAAACTACAAGGTTAAAAAACCCATGGTATGAACCTAGACGCATGGGGCAGATCTGTTGCAGTGGGGTCGGAAATAAGGTCGTCTTGCAGCCTTTTATAGGCAGACTTCCTTGTCCAGTCCGCGTGGTTTGAGGAAGAGTCACAAGAGCTTCTTGCATACACCTAAACACAAAATTAAAAATATGACCGACATATATTTCAGTTGAGGCGGAGGTGGTGTAGTGACAAGTGGCGCGCTTACCACTCGCGCGGTCCGGGTTCGAATCCCGGGTCGACACCCGCCCAGGCCAACCAAGCCTTCTACCCTCCGGGGACGGTAAAGGATTCGTCTGGGAGGATAAAACACTGACTTGTACATCGGCTGGCCACCGCAAGTCATTGTATAGGCCACATCGCATTCAATAAGCCACTACGATTCTGAATGGAAGTAGAATGCGTGCCGCATCCCACAAAGGGATTGATCAACGGCGAAGACTTTATCCTTATATTTCAGTTGCGTGGATGTACTTCGCCGATGTGCGGAAAAGCATCGACTGGATTTGCCAGACTACAGGTTTTTTTTACAGAGAAAAAACTCGTGACTAATCATCCTTATCTCAACTCTTTTGTCAACGAGGTAACTGTGTGAAAATCAGCGAGGTACTTTGGTTGAAAGAGGCCTTTTCATGAGATCAAATGTCTTCCCCAAACGTGACTCAAGATTTAATAGCTGTCTTTTAAACAGCCAAACCCCGTCCTGCACCAAAGTACTTTTTCATTGAGCGTTTCTCCGTGAAATAATTAGATATTCAGCCCAGCAGAACGCCTCAGCAGTGCAGTGTATGCTGCTGAAATGAAGCTTCTTGGCTTGGCCAAACTCTGAGAAGGAAGCTTCTATTAGCGAGTGATGGGTATGCAATCACGCTGGCCATTGCTTTAGAGCTTTCAGCTGGATAGTTGCAGCTTTCATTTACCAAGAAAACAAGTACTGCTCCTCAGTGGAATTACAGCTTCTCGCCTTGCGTTATGACTTCGACCCTGAAGAGCTAGCAAAAAACGTGGTTCACAGGTGAGGCAGAGACATATTGTCCACACACGTTCTCAAATTTCGACGGATCCCATTTCAATTCCAGTAGTGGTTCCAGTTACAACAATCATCTCCTTTTATTTCAGGATCCGCAATACAAGCCTAGAGAAGAGAGGAAGCAATGTGGGAGAATGTCAGCGTTTGGTGCTTTCTGCTGCAATCAGATGTAAAGTGTTGCTATGATGAGTAGATGAGCCATAATCACCCCCCCCCCTCACAGACAGTGAATGCACCACAAGTCTAAGGACAACGAACTCACAAGCAGTCCCTTCGACCGCCACTACTTTTTTCTCTGCCCTTTTCGCACGTTTACATGATTTCGTCGGCCACCATGACCTAAAACGTTCAAACACTACATGCATGAAAAGACATGCATAAATGGCTCATCCACACCGGTGCCGATGCCTTGGTGGCTGCAGTCAGATCATAGCGTTGTTGTGCGGAGCCCAACAGGCGACACCTGGTCGTAAATGCAGGGTCGCTGAGCATCGAAAAAGTGTCATCGCTCAGCATGTAGCAGAATCAGCACTAAAAAATTGAAAAGTTGTAGACAATCCGAATGTGTGGAAGACGACAAAGTATCAAATTGCCTGACAATAATGAAAGTAAGCTTGACTCCGTGAGTACGTAGATGAGTAGGTATTGGAATTTAAGCCACGCCGGAGATATAAGGCGTCTGTGTGACTTATACAGGTTTGTCTCCTGCTGCCGCCTGCCGCTCGACCGGATCCCACCAGCCTGTCTCACCGCCGCTGCCTGCACGCCGTCACTGCATTCTGCTCTTTTCCCATATTGGGGTCGACTGTAATAAAGGTTACTCGTTATTTGGTGTACCAGGCACGGCTAGAGGGAGGCCTGAAGCACGGAACTCTTGGGTCTGACTCGTCCGTAGTATTTCTCGACCAAGGAAAGATTCAGACTTCTGTAGTGAGGGGAAGCAGCATCGGCGCCACCGCTTTAACCTGCCGCTTATCAGTTCGCAAAAGCCCCGCACCTACATATTATCCTCAGAAGAAGCGCTGTGATTTTTCCCAACCTACAAATCTGTTCCAGCGCAGTTCTTTTCTTCGCTGAATTCGGGCTGCGATAGTCTATAGATCTTTACTCATCTGATCCTTTCCGTTGTATCCAGCAAGCGG